TTTCATATACTTACTCTAATTTCATGAATGTAATAATTCCTAAAGTAGGTAGAGATCATCTTTTCATAGATAAGCAATCTTTTTATAGCTAAGTAATAAACACATTATAGTGGGCTTAAATCCAAACCTTCTGACACCTTTTTTTAAGTGTTCTTACCTACATTCTATCATTTGGAGCTCTCTAGTCATCACCATCCCACTCTCATCGTTCTAAATTTTCAGTTTTTTTTTTTTTCTTCCTGGGAGTCTGGAATGCTCAAAATTACAGCATTCTCAATTTTCTCAGATAAGATTCAAACCAATATAAAGGGTAACGGCATTTTAAAAGTTCCCAACTCTTTGTAAATAAATACCAAAGGGAACAATTTCCATTAAAGATTATCATTTTTCTTATGTCAGCCAACTCTCGAAATTATCTTAAACTAAATTTATTCAGCAAGCATTTGAGTACCTCTTAATGTATGTTAGTTGGTATCAGATTTTTAAAAACCTGCCAGTTCTTCATAAAATTAAATTCACTGTAACAAATAAATTGTGATTATTCTGGTTGTACCTTCTCACTGTAACTGCCATATACCTAAAATACAGGGATAGATCTTCACTGACATCATCATTATTAATGTTTTGTCATATATTCCAATATTAATGTTCCAGTAACACTCACTTATTACTATTGCTAACATAATAATGAAATCAAAAAGGGCTTTGGTTCATGTTATAGAAAAATTTAAACAACTGGCAAAACTGAAATTAGTTTACTGGCTCCTGATTTCCAGTATAAAATTATAAGTGCACATATAATAATTTACATACTTAAAAATATATGTTGACAGGACAGTTTAATTGTATAAAAGGACTATCTTTAAGAAGTCAACTTTAAGCTGTATCAAGAAGGTAACATTCATATAAACACTTGTGAATCATAAAGGCAATTTTGTTTTTAATCTTTGTTGTGATGGCATGTGATAACTACTAGATGTGTAACATTTCCTCTCATATTCATGTTACTTGTAATGATTCAAAAACCAAAGTGATAGGAAGTCTCTGCTGAAGTTTACAGTAAACTTTTTTGTGTGTGTGTATCTCCCTTGTCCCACTGTGTTTGTGTCACATAGTCATTTTAAATGAAAATGCATGAAATGTAAATTTAAATTTGTTCTTTTCTTCAAGGTCATTCGGTTTACCATGTTTCAGTCACATCTCCATCATTTACAAAGATGAAGAGAAAGTAGATCAGTAGAATAAAAATAATAAAGGACCATAAAATGCTATGTCAATTTTTTTAGATTTACCAAGATTCATTTAAAAAGCAATGTAATTAAAATTTGCATTTACACTACAATCTGCATTCATAAATCCCAAAAAGCCATTCTCATCATAAGTGATACAGATGTATTTTTTCCCTAAATCCTTTAGATGATCATATTATGATTTTCCTTTAAAAAAAAAAAAAAGAAACTATGATGATAAAAGAACAGCATAATTTAATTACTATTCTTCAGTTGTTCTTCAGGAAATAAAGAGAAATCACTTTGTGTTGATTTTTAATAGAAGTTCAATTTTCCAAATAAAATGTTTTCTTGCCAAAACTATAGACCTTTTGGAATCTTAGTTCTAAATTTCACTAGATTCATTAATTTTTTGTGAAAAATGTTTTTATTTATGGAAATATGAGTTGCTGTAAATGAAAATGACTCAGCTATATATTAATGAAAGGAAAGAAACAGCCAGCTCATTTTAACATAAATTTGAAATTTTCCAGTAAAGGTCTGAAATTAATTTAGAGTCAGAACTTTTAAGTGGAGGTATCAGAAGATGTTTTAAAGCCTGGCTCCACTTGAAACACACTAATTTTTAAAAGTTACCTTTAACACAAAATAATTCCACTGGAGATTATTAGCTCTTGAATACCAGTATTGGTATTATGTTTGCCATCACTTAATGTTATCCCAACAGGTGAGAAAGTAGTATTAAGCCAAAACTGGCTCTGGCTGACATAAGGGTGACTTAAGTTGGGTTGATTGGTAACGTAAGTTAAAATAATAATTTGCAAAGTTATTATCATTTCACCTTAAATGTTAGTTACATTTCAATTTTCACTTTCACATTAAATAGAAGTCTCTGCATTTTCCTCTAGTGATGGCAGGTGACTACTGTGTTTACATTTTGTATGTGACTATAAATAATTCCTTAAAATATCCAGGTGACAACAGAAAAGATGAAATTAAAGGATTCCATAACTGGCATATTAAAATCACATTCAAAGTATTCAATTTAGACCAATGATTGTTACACTATATTGGTTATGGCTCATTTGGGATGCATATTTTTACTTTTGCCTTAGGCAAAAATTAAAGATAGATTTCATAAATATTTGGGAGTTCTTGGTCACAACTCTGCACTCAATACTATCTACTGTTTTCAGGTAATTACTACCACATTTTAAAATAAGTTACTTAAAATCACAAAGGGAAAAAAAACTATCCACCTTAGGATATACTAGGGCAGTTTCAGAGCAATGGAACATCAACTCAGAACTGTTCAAATGAGAAGTAGTACAACTCATTTTCATAAATCCAATTTATTCACAAAAATTTGGTATAGTTTATGCCAAACCATAAAGCCTGTAAGAGATATATTACTAAATGGTATATTTTCAAGAAGCAGGTTTTAAAAGCTTGTGAATTAAAATAAGTCTATGTTTTATGTATTCAAAAAGGCAGGGAAGGAACAAAGGGAAGAAAATAGAAAAAACTAAATTAAAAACACTAATGTAAGCTAATACTGCTTACATATGAACATCAAGATGCCAAGGGACCCAATACAATCCTCAGTCTAACATTTTCAATGGCACAGACTAGTGATCACACGATACTGGTGATACTCTCTAGTTACCCCTGGCAACCTTTCTCAACTGTAACGATGCTACCCTACAATAGCTTTCACTGGGCAGCTTTCTCTTCACTTAGCTGAATGCTCTGGGACCATCTGCGTCGGCAAGCATAAAAGGCCAGCCTGCCTGTGGGCCCGTCACTCTGAACACCACCTCTCTGACCCTGATTAAATACAACTTTCAATCCTTTTTGTCCTCCCTGTTGACTTCTCCTATTAAGGGAGCCCTTTGACAAAGAAAGCGGAAGAGTGGACTAACTGCCCCCAAGAAAGGTGATGTCTGATACTGCTCAACACAAGGATTAGCAAGCCAATACATAACAAAAGCAAGTTTTGGGGGAGGGGAGAGGTAAAGAAAAAAAATGGTTTTAGCTAGAGCTTTGACTAATTCAGTAGGTACACAATTCAACAAATAGCTATACAAGAGGACTTCTTTGATAGAAATAACTATAGCAGAACAATAATTTGGAGAGATACCTTTTAAGATCTTGACATAAGACCATGACATTGACAAAAAAAAACCAGATATTTGTTTTCTACTTCATTTTTTTTTTTAATTAAAAAGGAAACATAGTTGAGGGACAGGAAAGATTGCTGGAAAAAGTGAGAAATGAAATAAAACCACAAATAAATCATAATTACAATTGTTTCATTAGAAGGGTTGCTTGGCTTACTGAACACATTAAATTGACATCTGAGTTTATACAAAGGTGGAAAACAATTCCAAAATACTACAAAGAATCATTTTTGTAACTCATCATGCCTAGACTGAGAGAACTTCAATTTGAAACAACTGGTTTCACAGGATGAAGTCCTTTTAATAAAAAGAACATATTTAAAAACTTCCAAGTAGATGGAAGCTTATCAATACCATCCAGTTCTGTAAGGTAATCAGAGCCCACCAACAGATCTGCTGATCAAAATTACCACCTTTAATAAATCCATCAGTTTACAAAGTAACTCATAAGTTTTCCTGCGCCCATATCAGGCCAGCTAATAAATGAAAGGTCTGTTTGGCTCGATCAGCAAAGCAATTAAATAATGCAACCTCATAATATACCTTGAAACTTTAATGAAAAAAATAAGTAAAAACGAACAAGCTAAGGAACTCTATGCAGAGCTATTTTAAAAGTCTAAAGTCTGAAGTCTAAAGTAAAACTTGACTGTACATTATTCAAAGAATGGCCAATAAGCCTAGAAAAGCCAAGTAGCACAGAGAGAAGAAAGTCCAGGCACAGTGGCTCACGCCTGTAATCCCAGCACTTTGGGAGGCAGAGGCAAGTGAATCACCTCACATCAGGAGTTTGAGATCATCCTGGCCAACATGGTGAAACCTTGTCTCTACTAAAAATACATAAATTAGCCAGGCATGGTGGTGGTCATCGCAATCCAAGCTACTTGAGAGGCTGAGGCAGGAGAATCGCTTGAACCCAGGAGACAAAGGTTGCAGTGCGCTGAGATTGCGCCATTGCACTCCAGCCTGGGCAACAGAGCAAAAACTCCCATCTAAAAAAAAAAAAAAAAAGAAAGAAAGAGAGAGGGAGATTCCTAAGACACATGAGACTTTCTGTGATAAAGCTAGGAAAACCCTGGAAAAACTGGGACAGGTTGCTCATCCCAGGAGAGAGGTCACATATATGGAGAAACTATTATGTGCTAAACACTATGCTAGATTCTTTCATGGACCTTAATTCACTTACTCTTCACAACAATCCTATAAGGAAAGGAATTTTTTAAATGAAGAAGTCTTGCTAACTATGCGGATAAGTGATCTCTACAAGATTTCACTATTAGAAGAATAGGAATCAAAATCTGAGAGCTTTATCTTCAAAGCACATGTTTCTACCACAATACCATATTGCCTTTCTAGGAGTTAGGTAGGAAGAATGATGGAGCCATCATTTTCCTCCAGCACAAAATTTGGCAAACCCAGAATTCCCATATTCTACACATCTTTGATTATGTTGTATTCCAATAGAGCTACAGAGAAACAAAGCAGTGCTTGATTGATCATATAAATTATGGTGGAATCTGAACTGAAAGAGTGTTGAACACTTTAGAAAACCTATGTACAAAACATGCTGCTGGGAATAATTCTTTATTGCTGGATTTCCTGGCTTACTGGGGCTGGGAATTGGCTCGTACAGGGAACGAAGTAAACTCTATGTTTGGTACAGAGAATGGGATCAAGGCTACTAGAGAATAAGAACTGGGCTCCAGAGCAGGATTCAGATATTCGGATATATCCCTGGAGGACATGACCATCGTCCCTTCTGTGGTTCTCCTATGTACCCAGTAATTTGCACTACCAAGATACTGTCACTACAATAAATGGGACCACAGACTCATATCAACAAAAGACCATTTTAAGAAGCAAAAATCTGGTTGATATAACCACCTCCCTACCTTTCCCACATTTCCCTTTTCTAAGGGAAACGGACAATATTCAAGGTTATGGGAAGACAATTTTCGATAACAAAGAAACCAAAGAAGGGATGAGATATGCACAACTAACGAAAATATTAATAACAAATTGTTGTAAAAATTTTACATCATCACTTAGAGTAAGTAGGGAAAGCTTTACAAAGGAAGTATTGGTTGAGCTGGCTTTGAAGGCTGGTTGAATTTACTTCTGGGCAGACTGACATGAGACAAAGCATTCCAGGTAAAGATGTAGGAGCAATGTCCGAAGTAGTAAAATCAGAAAAGTATTTAGTACCTGGCTATCATCTAGCACTCATAATAAGCTTCTACTTGAATTATGACATGCTTATTGATTCCATCATGGTGTCTTCAAGGATTCACATGAAGGTGCCTAGCAGGGTTTAGCTATATGCAACACACAGGTATCCAAAAAAGGCCTTTTCCCTGCCTTTCACTGAACACTCTTTTTATTTTTATTTATTTTTATTTTTATTTTTTTTGAGACGGAGTTTCGCTCGTTACCCAGGCTGGAGCGCAATGGTGTGATCTCGGCTCACCGCAACCTCTGCCTCCTGGGTTCAGGCAATTCTCCTGCCTCAGCTTCCTGAGTAACTGGGATTACAGGCACGCGCCACCATGCCCAGCTAATGTTTTGTATTTTTAGTAGAGACGGGGTTTCACCATGTTGACCAGGATGGTCTCGATCTCTTGACCTCGTGATCCACCCGCCTCAGCCTCCCAAAGTGCTGGGACTACAGGCTTAAGCCACCGCGCCTGGCCAACACTCTTTTTAATAGGTTCTAATCACTTAGAAGGGTAGGGCAGCCAGAGATGCCCGGCTGCCAAACATGTTATTAGGCAGGAAATCTGGATTAACTGAAGTTGTAGAGTCTAAAAGAGTATAAAAGAACATTTGGTTTAACTTCCCAGATAATATAGGAACCACTATTGAAACACTCCAGACAGGAAATTAAAAGAACTGCAATAACATTATTTTAATTTGCGATTCTGAATTATTTTAATATTTAAACAGATTGCACATCTAAAAGCAAGGTGGTTCTAATAGGAAAAGTTCTAGCTCTGAAACAAGCTGACTTTACATTCTGAACCCGTTTGTTCAAAAATAAAATTAGGTTAATACCTGTTCTGACTACCTCCTCTGAGAACTGCAAGGGTTGTTGGAGAAGACATGTCGAAGTATGTAAATATTAAAGCATTATACGAACATAATCTACTATTGTTTATGCTGGCTTATATATAACACTAAAGTTAATTTTTAATAGATTCATACCTAGATAAAAAAGTGGAGAAACAATAGGATTTTTCCCTAACAAATAGGCAATACTCTTCAGGTTTGTGACTTGTCTTAGTGTCAAACGAAGAGATGAAGAAAGTATATCCTTTATTTATAACTTTATTTATTTGCTTGTTTATTTTACTTTTTTGAGACAGGGTCTCACTTTGTCTTTCGGGATAGAATGCAGTGGTGTAATCACCGCTGACTGCAGCCTTGACTTCCAAGCTCAAGTGAACCTCCCACCACAGCTTCTTAAGTAGTTGGGGGACTACAGGCACATGCCACTGTGCCCGGTTAATTGTTTTTATTTTTTATTTTTCTAGAGATGAGGTCTCCCTATGTTGCCCGGGCTGGTTTCAAACTCCTGGGCTAAAGCAATTCTCCCACCTTGGCCCTTCCTAAAGTGCTGAAATTAAAGGTGTGAGCCACTGCACCCAGCTTCCAACTTTATTTCTTATCAAAACTGGACCAATGGCTTTTAAGTCTTAATTTCCTTAACTGCTATACTGAAAATAATTTTCAGAAACTGTACAACATTCTGGTACTGATACCAAGGCACCTAGAACAGAGTTAGAGATAGGGTATTCAAGTTTTAAATAAACAATACATTTTTAAAATGGTGTAATTCCTATCTACATACAATTGAATGCAGTAAGGTTATAGATCTCTCATTGAAATTTTTTTTGCTTATTTCTCTCTACCCAGGTCCCTCTTCAAAGTTTTAATTTATCACTCACTAGTGAGCAATCAAAGACTTTGGGAAAGTTACTAGATATGACTACATTTTTTTAAAATTGGAAAACAACAGCAAAAATACCTACCTCTCTTCACAAAGCTGAAGTGAGGAGTGAAGGGCTACATGAGTTAAAGAATATGAAACCCATAAAGTACATTTATGTCTACCTACATATGTTATCTAAAAAGTCTGAACTCACAGAAGTAGAGAGTAAAGTGGTGGTTACCAGGAGTTTGGTGGAGAGGGGGTTGGGGAGATGTTTGTCAAAGATAACAAAATTTCAGTTAGGAAGTTCAACATATCTGTTATATGACATGGTGAGTACAGTTAATAACAATAGAGTGTATTCTTAAAAATTGCCAAGAGAGTAGTTTTTAAGTGTTCCCATCACAAAAAAACAGGTATGTGAGGTAATACATATGGTAATTATCTCAATTTAGCCATTCCACAATATATACAGTCATCCCATAGGATCCAGAGGTTCCAGGATGCCTCACTACCAAAATCTATGGATGTTCCTGCAATCATTCCTGCAGAACCCACCAATACAAAAAGTTGGCCTGCAAGTATTGTATTTTCCATCCATGATTGTTGGTTTAATGAGTAGATACCAAGAGCCAATTGCACACATTTCAAGATATCATGGCAAAATACCTAGTTTTTTTCCTGCCCCAAATGATAGTCTACACTGGCCCAGAGCTTACTACACTAGTTTTGTAGCAACGTTTTTAGTAAATGTACTCTTCATTACAGTTAATAATATCCTATACTGGTATAGTACATTAAATATTTCACAATGCCTTCATATCCGAATCATGATGAATTAGGTAATGAAATCATTATCATATGTTGATGATAAAGATGGAGAGCCCTGAAGACCCTTGTGGACTCCGGTGGGTTCAGTTAACGTTCTCATGCTGATTAACTGCCAAATCTATATATCTAACTTCGTTCTTTCTTGAGCTTGGCTCTATATTCATATATCCAGTTCCTTTCTGGACACCTCAAATTAGATGGTCTACAGACACTTCAAATCAAATGTTAAAAACTAAATTCATATTCTTCCACTTTCAAACTTGAATCTCCTCTAGTATTCACTATCTAGAAGAATGGTACCATCACCTCTCATCTATTTTCTAAAGCAACTAGTCTCTGTAAGTTTGATCTTGCCATCATCTGCCCAATCCCTGCCATTCTCCACTCTTCTGCCAAGCTGACTTCTAAATTCTAAATATGATCCTGTCATTATCTTACTAAAAAACTCTTTGAAAAACTCTTGAATTTTCAGATCATCTTATAAATCCCTTCATAATCTGGTCTCACTTTACCACTGCAAACTAATCTCTCGCTATTTTCCATTACCTTTGAACCCTATGGTCTAGCCAGACCAAATTATACATCAATCTCTGACACAACAGCAGTTGGGCTATTTACCTGCTATTCTCTGAACCTGCAACACTCTCTCTCTTCAAGGCCTTCCTCTGTTTAGCTTACTTCAATTATTCTTCAGGTCCTAATTCAGGAAATCAGGTAAATTGGGAAATCAGGTAAGATTCTGGAGGAAAGAAGTCTTGGAGAAAAGAAGTCTCGCCTGATTTCCCAAAAGTGAATTCAGAGTCGTAGACATTCCCATGATGTCCTATATTTTCATCTATCAAGGTACTTGCCCTTTGTATTCTAAGTATCCATTTATGTGCCTGACTGTCTCTTAGGCTGTGAGCTAGTTACTCTTAGGCAATACCACATTTCTACTGCTGAACGCTGTCCACTGTGCAGGTGGGTGCTCAATGATAGTTTATTGGATTGAATTTAGTTCACTGTTACATGGCTTCTAAGAAATGGTTTGCTTATTTAATAATTTGCTAGTTTAGTTTAAGATCATAATTTCAACTGTTTAAATGTAGATTCCTTTCTTTTATTTCAATCTTTTAATTTTTAAAAATAGCTTCTTCTTTAAAATATTAGAATATTGAACATTAAAGAAGAGTTACATATTCTTTCTATTGAAGCATTTCAAGGAGAGGATGAAAATCTGAAACTACTGGTTATAACTGTGTTCAAAAAATAAAAATAAAGTTTATCTTTAAAGTTACTCAATTGAAAAAAAAATTAAGTTACTATGCCGAAAATAAAATTTTATCTAAATTTATCTAAAATTTATCTAAAATTCTACTTTGCACTCAGAATGACTTACATATTACTGTATCTGAAAGAGTCTTTTCTCCAAAAAATTTGATTTTTTGCCTTAAAAACCAAATTATTTTCTAGAATATATCTCCACTTTACCCCATAAAATCGGTGAGAAAAAATGATTTATATATTCATATGATATATTAAAAGAGGATTTGATTCACCTTACAGACAACTTTTCATCTAAGTGAGATATATCTATCATGTTTTGGTAGGCTCCTTACTGGGAAATTAGCTATTATAAATTATTAAATGGAACAAATGCTTTCCACCATTCCTCACTGCTGACTTAAAAAAAAAATCCAATACTATTCCATAGTGAAAATATATAAAAAATACATAGTGGCCCTCCACTAATCAATCATAGTAGAACCCTCATGACACAGCCATAGCCAACAAACAGTGCAAAACATTCACCACTTCTTTTTGGAACAAGGAGAAAAAAGTGAAAATGATAGGACTACTTGAGTTTTAAGAGGAAAAAACTGTCTTGGCAAAAATAATTCATTATCATTTACCCCCTCTTAATAAAGATTAAAGGCCTCCCTCACTTGCAGAAAGTTTATTATAAATCAAATCATATTTTAAAATATTAAGAGTTAGTTGCCTTTTAAAGAACTCATATGGATAAGCTATTTTAAAATTAGCTGTTTTATAAGATAAACACTCATCTATGTAATTAATTGGGCTATTTTAAAAACCATTATGCCTAAAGCAAAATATAACTCTTACTACACTATGATATATTCAGTAGAAAATACAAGATGCTCTAAATAAAAAATGTTTCTATTTAAAAAACAAGGACTGGGGCAGCCTTTTTCTTTTTCTTTAAATGAAGACATTCCTGCACAAGAAAAATTCACTTAACTTTACTCCATAAGTACTTGACCTGTACCACAAAGAAGCTCAGGCTTGCAAAATGGCTAGTATGAGAAGTAAAAAGAGTAGTTTTTATGTCGAGCTGGGCAGTAACAATATGGCATTACAAAGGACAATGGGAGATAATAAACATACTAAAAAATGCTTGATTTAAGGTAAATCCTTATTGTTTAATGAAGTGAAAAAGGAATAAAATGAGACTCAAGATGTACAGAATAGAAAATTTGGAGACAAGACAAATTCTATGGTCATATCCACAGACCATACAATTTTGCAGCAAAATGTTATTACTACGGAAAAATCCATTGTGTGATTCTCTTTGTGAATTAAGCAATGAAAACACCAGAAGGCTAGCTAGACTAGTTAATGTTTCCATTTGAACTCTGATCAACATTTTGCTGATACAGTTGTATCTACAGATTGAAAAGTGTTTTCAAGGTTTCAGTTGGCTGTCTGAACAATTTTTTGTTGTATTCAAATCAACTACGTCTGAAAAGAAAGCATTCTAACTCTTGTAGCATAGTCCACATTGCAGCTTGAATAATTGTTCTATAGCTTTGTTTAGTATGTGTGTATATAAACTCAGTTTTAACCCTGAATACATGGATCTTGAATACTACATAGTGCTTTCTGTAGCACTTATAATTTACTAGTAAATTACAAAATGGTAGTTTTAAAAACTGAGAAAGTAATATTAATATCCCTCTAAAATGAGCTCTTTTCAAAAAGTAAGATTTTGTCAAAAATAAACAGTTGGATTAAAGAGTTGCCAAAACATGCAGCCAGCAATACTCAATGTTAAAATAATTTCACAATATCAGAGTGACCAGATGATCTACAGATGTAATTTTAAAACAAAGGTTTAGAATTTTCCAGAGAAGGCCTTACTAAATACTTAAAATCTGTTTTCATAATATGCGTAAATTTTATAAGATAGACCTATGATATCAACATAAAACAAATATACATAAATTTCAAATGGCTTATCCATGAATTCCTTTAAAAGCTGTAGTATTTGGATGCCATAAACTTGGCTCAGAAATATTTCTATATTTCCTGCCATAATTCTTAACTATGTTTTGGACAAAAAACTTTATTAATCATAATAATCTGAGCTTTTTGTTTTTCTAAAATGAAAGAAATATGCTTAAAAAAAAGAAATATGCTTCTCATGTCATAGATAAGTATACATATAGGATTCCCATGATTGCTTTTCTCTCATGGCAATTCCAGATGTGAGGGGTCAAACTTGTCACTGAATCTAGCTTTCCTTAATACAAAACCATTCAATGTGCTGATACAAAGAACTGATTTCTTAAGTCCAAATTACTTTCATACTCTTGTCTAACCATATACAAATCTTTTAATTTGAAAGCAATTCTTAACAGATAAAATTAATATGTAAATGTAAAATGTAAACATAAAATACACAATTTAAAATAACCTGAGGCAGCAAGCTCTAGATTTCCATTAGTATCTCAGCAACAATTACAATACATTTTTAATAAGAGCTTCACTATGTCACCCTGTCAGCTTGGCTTTATTGTATTAATACAGGAACATGTACTATCAGAAAGAAGTTCAAAAGCACTATCTACATAGAGTACAAATTTTGATATAAGTAGTCGGTATTACACAGCATTAACACTTCAAAAAGCAACAGAAATACATACTGTGAACAAGACTGCACAAGAATACATTTGTTCCACAACACCATCCCAACTATCATGGGAAGCAAAGAAGTGCCCCCATACATATAGTATAGAAATTATATAACCAAAACTTCACAGATCCATTTGTAACTCTCTAATCAAAGCTAAACATCATATACATTTTCATTTAACTTAGATGCTAAACAAAAACTCAATTTCCTCTGAACATCATTGGGCAGAAAGCCTAGTAATAAAGAATTTGACATTAGTTTGGAAATTTTAATGGATTACATGTAGATTATACCAAAACATTTTCAAATGTTAATCATTTTATTTAATACTAATTTAATACAAATAAGCAGTTATGATTTCCTTATTTGGCAGCCAAACATTTAGAATGCTATTGGATGTCCTATGTACCTACTCCTATAACAAAAGCAAGTTCATTATTTATTCAGATTATTCAGATGGGAGAAAAAATACTAATGGAAAATCTGAGGAAAATATCAGCATCACTAAGATAAATCAACACCAATTTTAACAACAACAACAAAAAAAAAACAATGGTACAATGTTTCAAGAACTGGAATAATATATTCTGAATGATCCTAAGCTGATAAGCCACTGACTTGGGGGAGAGCTCTACTGACATTAGACACTTTCATTAGGTAGTCAGCATCTTATTTATCTAACCCTGGGCTTAAACATTTTATTACAGTAGTCAATTCGGAAGTTATAAAATTTTTCTATTGGGGGTTGTTATTTGGGGGGTTAGAGTAGAGATGCAGCTAAGAAAATCAGTGAAATCTCCAGAATGAACAGCCTGGCACTTTGGTATCTCACTGGGCACTCAGGAAAGCTATACTATAGAAAGCAGGTTACCGTTTATGATAGTTGTATTTTCTGTGTTATCTAGAGAAAAACAGGTTCATCCATGCAAAATGGACTGTTTTAGAAGATACTGCTGCTAAAATGAAAGACTTTTCAAAAGGAAAAAGTGATTATTCCAGATGAAATGAGAAGCTCCAATGTCAACCTTACTTCCTGAATCAGCAAAAATCAAAGCTTTACTCAGAATAGAAAATTGGAGATTTTCTTTTAATTTACATATCTTTTTTGCTGAGTATGTTTTAGCTGAAATATGAGAGAACTTCTAAGAGACAGCACTTCTCATTTCCAATCGTGCTTTGCTATGGCATTATAAAATACCACCACTTGGAACTAAGAAGACATAAATTTTACTAGCACTAATGTAGAAACATCAAGAGTTTAAGTCAGAAATAGCTTTTCATTTATAACATTTTGTCATACACTCATTACCCAGGTCAATACCATACCAAATACCTAGCTCTAAGTAAACATTTTAAGTATGACTGGGACATATCTAAATAGCTAAAGGTTTGGCACATTATAAGCAAAATTCTTAAATGAGCATCAAAATAAAAAAAAACAAGAAAAGCATATTTAACCCAGATACTATATAAATCCTTTTATTAATTCAGAGGTCCATGTGCTCGCTTCGGCAGCACATATATTAATTCAGAGGTCCAAGGGTGTTAAGAAGCCTAGATAAAACTAAGAAATTATTTTGTTAAATGAATTGCTACTTTTTAAAAGGGAAATTTTATTCAATCCTTTATAACATTTCAATAATAGTATTATTAAAAATCTGAAGTATATCCACATTATTGACAAATATCTATCCTTTGGCTATTTCTTTTGTGTCAATATTTTAATGTATATTCAGTGTTTTTCATCTTAGTTGGGTGGCTTCTTCTTAACAACAATAAACATAAAATGATGGCCGTTTAGCTAGAAAAAAAATTTCTTGTTGAATTCCACCCTTTTGGGAGAAATGACGTAAAGTATGCCCATCCCTATCCCAACCTTTGCTACTCTTGCTGCTTCTTTTCCTTTATCTTAGGAGTAGAAGTATGAAATGTGGTCAGATTTTCTCTATTTAAAGATTGTTTTAAATATTCGTGAGTGTGACAAAATTATCTTTTGGTTTAATTTTAAGTGACAAGAAAAATAAAAGATTTCTTATCCACAAACTTTTTAAACATCAATATTTTATTTTATCTGGCCTTTATATAACACCTTACCAGAATTCACCCTGCAACCATTATTAATAGCTGTAAGTGAAATTTTTTTTATCTGCCTTCTAACACACAACTAATTAAATATTAGATTGACATAGTTAGAATTTGGGCAACTCTCTTTTATTAACCTCTATAAAAATTCTCTAACAATACTTAATGGCACATAAAACATTTAAATGTAAATTTAATATTCCGAGAAACTAGATTAAATTTGTAACAATCTAAAGCCAGAAATATATACTGAGTTGTTTTACTATAAGAAAAACAGGACCTGAACAAAAAATAAACAACAATCATGGGAAAGATAAGTAATTACGTTTTTAAAGATTTTTTTCTGTATTCTCTTCACACGAGACACTTATAAGAAGGAGTACTCAAAGACTCAAATGTATACTGCCCCAAACCCTCAACCACAACAGACAACCTTCTAATGATGTGTAAATTAAAGCCCAGGTTTTATGTTGATCATTATTCTAATAATTGGCTTTTAATACACCATTTTGCTATATAAATGCCTCAGCAGCTTACCCAGGGAAACTGTCAAACATTTTCCTTTTTATTTTAATGTCTACTGACCATATCTGAATGATTCCCATACATTTTCATTCAATATTGATATTAAAAGACAAAAACAGCAAAAAGAAAAAGTCTTTGTTTAAAAAGCTTTAGGAACCAATCTCACTTTGAACTAAACATACAGGTAAAGCACAATGCAGTTAAGAGGCAGACTGTGTCCCAAATATACATGGGTAATGGACATCAGTGTTATATAATATAGAAAATCAACTTCCCCAACTGTTAAGGTTTGAACAGGCCAATTATTTCAAACCATCCTGTGATGAATCATCACTTTTTCAACAGTGTACAGAGACTAAGGGATAGCCAATAATAAAAAATGACAGTGTGGTGGCCTAGCCTTATAGAAGCTGGTTTTCATAGACCGAACTGAGATATATCTGCTGTTTTCTAAGGCAGTACCCCATGCTTAAAATCCCCCCTCTCTGCCTTTGTCCAGTTCTTTTACTAGCAACCAATTGCTTTCATTTGGTTCAGCCCGGTAAAAAACTCAAAAGGACTAGAACATGAAGGTCATCTAGGTCTACAACGTAGATGAACAAGCCAACAAAGCAACATCACAGGGCAAAGAGCAAAGGCATTGTAATAAGAATCTAATACCAACAAAAAGAAAAATCAATATTAAATAATGAAAAATAGTAAACAGGATGAAAAGAATGGCTGCTTTTGCTTTATGTAAATATTTAGATAATGTTCTTTTAAATAAAAATTGAAATACCAGCCATTTAATAATTATTTTTAAATTCAAGTGAAATACATTCTGCAATACACAATAATAACACAATGACCTACTAGTAAGGAAAAATTATGCTTACATTCATGTGTAAGTAAGGGAACATTGTAAATCCTTTGGCTTTTTCTAATGGTACATTTCTTTTAATTTGTGTAGAACACTGACCTCTCCAATTTATTGTATTGTTCTTGAAATTTAAAAGCAAAATGAACCACAACTATAGAGTCTTAAGCTACATGGCAGAAACAATCAACAAGCAAAATAACCAGAGAATTTGTTTATTTTTCAATCCTATGTAGGAAGAATGAAAATAATTTCATCTTATTTATAAAAAGCAGCTTTTCCAGCTTTTGTTTTTCCCTACTACAACTTCGCAACTATTTCCTTTTTATATTTTCATTGCAATCATGATGTTAATTGCTGCCATCACATTTATTCGACATGCCAAGTCTGCAGTGGGGCAAATGGGATTCTGATGATTTGAAGCACAGAAAGAAATAGTTGAAATGATCAACCAGGTGAGAAACAGTCTCCTGAATAATAGCAAAAGAATGCAATTTCATCTAAGCAAAATCAAAGCCAAATTTTCCCTTCCATAAAAGCCATTGTTAAAAAAAGGTGGACATCAAGTGGATCGAGAAACATTTATTATTAAACAGTTTCTTTGTAACACAAAAAAACTTATTTCACTAAGGTTTCTTCTTCCATTTCCCATTCTCCTCAAAGAATATTGGAACACAAAGAAAAAGAAAAAGCAAACCAAACCATTAAAATATACTTCTGTTAAAGGAAGAAAAATTATTTAGCAAAACAGTGCAATCTAAATGTTTTTACATATCATAGCAGGTGTTTTCCAAAAGAGCTAAATCACCCCAGAGAAGCATATCAAAAAATTCAGGAATACCGTCAAACAAGCAAAAAGTTCCTACTTCATTTCTCTTTGCATGAGGTGGAAAAGGAAAGCAAAAGTAATGTTACAGTAGTATTATAAGACAGTCACTAATAAATCTGGTCAATCAGGGTAGGATCAGTACTGACATGTCAGAGCAGATGCTATAAACAAATCTCTCCTTTCTTCAAGAGTGCTAATCTCAACACAAAAGATCATGGCAGAGAGATGTCAAGACTCTGTTATTTCTGTTTTCTAACCACCAAGGCAATTAGGGAAAACAAAACAAAACAAAACTCTGAAAGCTAAATAGGTGAGATTTTTACATGTTAATAATAGATGTGATATGTTGATTCAAAGGGTAATGAGACAAAAATGAGATAAAAATGGGAATGAGTTTTGCCAACCACCAAGAATTACACATAGAAGGGATTACAATCCCATTGTTTCCTTTAAATGTCTCCTCTATAAATGCTGTGATCCAGCAAACAGGCAAATTAAAATATCCCAATAATCTAGTGCAACTAAGGCCTGGCTCTAATACAATCTCCTTCATGAAGTTTGTCCTTACTGTTTTCCTGAGAAGAAACTGATTTTGCTCTCTTTAATAACTCCTGTATATTAGACTTGCATGTCATATCTCTTCTAAAGGTTAAAAAGCACTATGAAGACAAGAACTATGCCTTATTTTGTGACATTATACCCTAGATTCTAAAAATTTATGAATTATTTGAACTAAGTGACCATTGTGTGAAAATGCAAAATAAATACAAGGCATACAGTTCCTGACTCTGAGAGGTTTGCAGTATGGTTAAGGAGGTAAAATATATAAATAAGAAGCAATACCATTAATTTTAAAGAATAGCTTTTTAAGTGATATAGTCAAGGGGAAAGACATTCATTGGAGGAAAGGAAGCAGAATAGAGCATGAAGGCAGAGCCCTGAAACATGAGGGCAGAATTACTATCCATTCATGAAGCTTAAGTCTTGCTACAAAGATAGAATGGAAAGTAATTTCAATTAGGGCTTATGAATTTGAAAGGAATATTGCTAAACAACACGTTTCTTGGAGAGTTATTCTTAAGTAAAACCACAAGTATAATCTCGTTCCAATGTAATATGTTCACTGAAGGCACGAAGGCAGAGGCACTGGCAGTTCATTTTGAAGGACAAAAGGGTACCTTGAGCCTTCTTATTGTGTCTTCTTTTTAAGAAACTTCAGGTTGAGGTCTCCGTCTTCATAAAACTACTGCACACTTTGACTAGTGCTGATTTCAAAGGCAATTAGAATTACCTTTGGTTAGAGAACTTTCTTCAACAAGCTAGGGTGGGAGGAGCTGAAATAATAACTGTAAAATAGTCCCTAAAGGCAACTTCGGAGACATAGGCAACCCTCTTGAAGTTCAAATTGAAAGCACTTGAGTGATATAATATCTATGACACAACCTCAAAGGCAGGAGATTATGAGACTCAGGAGATGAAGGATGTTTCTAAAGTCAAAATGTAACAACTGGAGTGAAACTGATAAATGATTTTTCAACTTAGCCTTTCATCCTTCCAAGACAGAAAAATTGAGCAGCCTGCACTGTGCCATGTACAGGTCTTCCAGATGAGGTTTACTGTATGTTATGCATAGGAATTAAAAATCTGATAGCACTTTAGATTAAAAATAAAAATGGTAGGGAGATAACCTGTGAGCCTTGGTTAAAATAGTTCTATACAATAAGGATACTTTCCCACAGTAAAGGATCATCTCACACCTATAAGAATGGCCAGTATCACAAAGACAAAAAAACAAATGCTGGCATAGATGTGGAGAAATGGGAACCCTTATACAATGCTGGTGAGAATGTAAATTAGTATAGCCATTATGGAAAGCAGTGTAGAGGTTCCTCAAAAAACTAGAAGCAGAGCTACCATATGATCCAGCAAGCTCACTGACTTATTTATCCAAAGAAAATGAAATCAGTAGTCAGAGATATCTGCACCCCCATGTTTACTGTAGCACTACTAATGTTAGCCAAGATACAGAATCAAGCTAACTCCCCACCAACAGATGAACAAAGAAAATGTGATGCAGATACACAATGAATACTACTCAGCCATTAAAAAAAGAGTAAAGGTGGGGTACGGTAGCTCACGCCTATAATCCCAGCACTTTGGGAGGCAGAGGTGGGCGGATCACAAGGTCAGGAGATCAAGGCCAACCTGGCCAACATGGTGAAACCCTGTCTCTACTAAAAGCACAAAAATTAGCTGGGCATAGTGGTGCATGCCTGTAATCCCAGCTACTTGGGAGACTGAGGCAGGAGAATTGCTTAAACCTGGGAGTAGGAGTTGCAGTGAGCCTAGATCATGCCACTGTACTCCCGCCTGGTGACAGAACAGGACTCTGTCTCAGAAAAATAATAATAATAATACTATCCTTTCCTTTTTGGCTACATGGATAAGCGTGGAGGACATTATGTTAAATGAAATATGCCCCAAATACCACATGATTGCTCTCATTTGTGGAGTTGTAAAAAGCAGCTCTCACTGATGTACAGGATAGAACAGTGGTTACCAGAGACTGGCCAAAGATTGGATGGGAGTGGTTAGTCAATGGATATAAAAGAACAGATGAATAGGAGTTCCAGTTCTAGTTTTCTGTTGCACAGGAGAGTAATTATAATGAACAATACTACTACATTGTATATTTCACAATAACCAGAAGAGAGAATTTTGAATGTACTTGCCACAAAGAATTGACAAATGTTTGAGGTGATCCTGATTTGATACTGCACAGTATATATATGTATTGAAACATCATACTGTACCCCTCAAATACGAATTGAATATACTGTACATATTCAAGTAAAAATAAAACTTAGAAAGTTTTTTAAATTATCAACTTTTGAAAAGGTTAAATGGCACTGCAGGTAAAACAGCATAGCAGATATCCAATAAACTGTTAAAAGAATGGCTAAAATATTTTCATAAACTTATAATGAAAAACTGAAAGGACAAATACATAAGGCCTTGAAGAATTTTTGAAGCTTTCACAAAGATTATTTAAGCATATTTTAAGTTTCCTAAAAAACATGAAGTGTACAATGTATACAAGATTCTATATTAGATGATACAAGTGCTAGGTTTTGGTCTTTTAACAGTTAACTATTTACTCTCTTTAGCATCCATTTTCTTTCTGATAACAAGTGTTTCTTATCGGAAAATCTATCCATAGCGTTTAGATGGTGATAAGAGATGGTTACCCTATGCTTCACTGCATCCCCATTAGGGCTGCGGCAGGTACACCATTCACACCTGTCCTATCCAAACATCAGGCCCCACTGATTGGACCAGGAATAACCAAAGCTGAATCAATGAAATAGCTTCCCATGCTTTAACCAGAATCCTCAAAAAAGACAATATATCTGTCTGAGACATAGGTGTTAAGGACCTTTTGGTCTGAAGTACCAAAAGCCATTTTCCTCATACTACAGAAGGCCTAAGAATGAAGGCAGTTAGCACAAAGTAAAGTAGATCTGAGAAATGGGACGAGTTAGTGTTAATGCTTGAACCTCTAGAATAGATCTAGAATGATCCAGCTATGCTGAGAACAAATAAATGCCTAAGTGAGGCAATAAATCCCTATACTGGCTGGGCATGTTGGCTCAAGCCTATAATCCTAGCAACCTGGGAGGCCAAGGCAGGCGGATCACCTGAGGTTAGAAGTTTGAGACCAGCCTGGTCAACATAGTGAAATCCCATCTCTACTAAAAGTACAAAAATTAGCCAGGCGTGGTGGTGGGTGACTGTAGGCCCAGCTACTCAGGAGGCTGCAGCAGGAGAATTGCTTGAACCAGGGAGGAGGAGGCTGCAGTGAACTGAGATTATCCCACTGCACTTCAGCCTGGGTGACAGAGTAAGATTCTGTATTTTAAAAAAAAAAAAATCCCTATCTTCCTATCTTTACTTCCTTACTTTCTTCTTCTTCTTTATTTCCTTTGGTTTGGATTTCTAAAACCCTCCATCATTTTCTCTTGACCCTGTCAGTCTCCTGTCATTGCTTTATGTAGTGCCATTCTCTGCCATTCCTAATAATTCTCTGGCTCCACTGCAATGGTGAATGAATGCCTGAGCTGGGGCTATTTCAGTCTACTTAATGGTTACTTGACCTTACCGCTAAACGAGGTGAGGAAAAATTCATGGATAGGGACTACAAAATCAGTTCTTAAAGAGCATAACCTCTAATTGTTCAAAAATAGTTGTGATCTCATTATTTAACACTTATATACAATCAAGAAAAAAAAAAGTTTTCAGATGGTACTCTCAGTAACTAGTTCAAACACAATTAATAAAAATCTATCTTTATAAGCATATTATACCCGAAACGCAACAGGAAGTCCAAAAGCCAAAGGAGAATGTAGTTCACAATTTCCCAGGTCATGTGCCTAAAATTTGCTGAGGAAAATGACAGCATTTGGAATTATTTTAATTCCTCTCCTTAGAAGTTAAGAGTAAAATAAATTAATACAAACAAAAATAAGAACAAGCTTAAGACATGCTAGGCTAAACGATAATGTCGAGTGGGTATGGTTTATTAAACAGATTTTTGACTTTAAAATATTTTCTACATGCAAAGAGCTTTTAGGAATATAACCTCATTGTAAGTTAAGGAGCATCTGTACTTCGAAAATAAGTACTTCCTTGGGATACCTTATCTATAGGAATCCATGAACATTTGATTTGAAAATGAAATTAGCATGGCGATGTTACTTTAAACCCTTAATAAGCCGACACCACCAACCTGGGAATACTGTCTCATGTGAATTGGTCAGTATAAAATATGAAGACACAAGCCCATAGTACCTTACATGCTCAAATGAGTACTGAATTTGGCCTAGCAATTTCTCCTCTCCAATATTAACAGTTAAATCAATTTTTGAAAATATATTTATGCTTTAATTGAAAGAATGGATGGAAAAGGAAGAAATGATTTGCAATTTGAGGTGACTAAACCCAAATATTCCTATATCTCTTTATGTATATGTTTATGAAAAAGTTTCTCAACAATTATTTCTTGACACATCAACAAAAATTCACCAAAGGCTTTGGTTGCAATACAACTTGATTTATGGACAATGAAATTTGAATTTCATATAATTTTCATGTCATGATTTTTTTCCCAGCCATTTAAAAAAGTTGAAACCTTTCTTAGCTCCATGGCAGTACAAAAACAGGAGGTTGGCCGGATTTGGCCTATGGGGCATAGTTTGCTGACTCCTGTTCTTCACTAAGACGGCAAATTAAATCCCTATAACAGCTTTAAAAAATTCTAAGTCTCTCTCACATACCTAGATGCTTAGGCCCTATCTCTGGAAATCAATTTCCTGACCAGATAAACGGTGACAGTAAGTATAATAAAACTATGAGATTTGTTAAATTTTCCAGATGATTCAAATGTATAACCAGGGTCGAAGACTATAGAATATATAATCAAATGGACACTCCTTAGCTTCTTAAATTTTCGCAAGCCCCTCCTCTACCACAATTCTTTCAGATTCTTTGTTTCTGCACCTATACTGTCAGAACTGGCACATAAGGGCCCTGTATTCCCTTCCACTGCTGCAGTATACACAGTAACTGTTTAGTACATGTCTGATTAACACAATTCTGCACAAAACATATTCCTTTCCTTTAAATAATTTAAGAAAAATAAGGCAAAAACGCATGTAAACCAAAACGCAGAAATGTCTGTGATGAAATAACTATTAACACAATACATTGCTGTTTGCAGAAATGTGACAACCAGAAACAAAATTAAGAGACTCCAGGATTGTATTTTAGAATAGCAGAAAGGGAGAAACAGTGAAAAGATCCTAAGAATAACTTACCTGTTTGATAAAAGACCCAAAACATTGAGACTATCTGCTTTTTCTATTAATTAATTATGGGTCAACAATCACTTGCTGACCAAAGAACAGAGTACTGAGCCTTCCAGCTTCCCCAACATTTCTGCCTTGGAGTAGGTGAAATGTGCCCAGAAGTATCATTACATGGCTACTGAGAACCTGCTCACTTCTAAATAATAAATATTTGACATTGTGACAGGAAGCTTTCAACAACTAGGGTAAAAAAAAAAAATGGAGAAAAACAGCTACCTAGTCTACAACAAAATTATGTATGTTTTAAGGTATAAAGGCTTGGTTTTCATTAATCAACTTACCGTTGAGTTACAAATTTTTTGACCTAAGCAATACCATTCAGGACATAAGCATGGGCAAGGACTTTGTGACTAAAACACTAAAAGCAATGGCAACAAAAGTCAAAACAGACAAATGGGATCTACTTAAACTTAAGAGCTTCTGCACAGCAAAAGAAACAACTATCAACAGAGAGAAACGGCAACCAACAGAATGGGAAAAAAGTTTTTGCAATCTACCCATCTGAGAAAGGGCTAGTATTCAGAATCTACAGAGAACTTAAACAAATTTACAGGAAAAACACAAACAACCCCATCGAAAAGTGAGCAAAGGATAAGAACAGACACTTTTCAAAAGAAGACAATTATGCAGCCAACAAACATGAAAAAAAGCTCATCATCATTGGTCATTAGAGAAATGCAAATCAAAACCACATTGAAATACCACCACATGTCAGTGAGAATGGTGATCATTAAAAAATCAGGAGACAACAGATGCTGGAGAGGATGTGGAGAAAAAGGAATGCTTTTACACTGTTGGTGGATGTGTAAATTAATTCAACCATTATGGAAGACAGTGTGGCGATTTCTCAAGGATCTTGACATAGAAATACCATTTGACCCAGCAGTCCCATTACTGAGTATATACCCAAAGGATTATAAATCATTTTGTTATAAAGACACACGCACACGTATGTTTACTGCGGCATTGTTCACAATAGCAAAGGCTTGGAACCAACCCAAATGCCCATTAATGATAGACTGGATAAAGAAAATGTGGCACATATACACCATGAAATACTATGCAGCCATAAAAAAGGATGAGTTCATGACCTTTGCAGGAACATGGATGAAATTGGAAACCATCATTCTCATCAAACTGACACAACAGAAAACCAAACACCTCATGTTCTCACAGATAAGTGGGTATTGAACAAAGAGAACACACGGATACAGGGAGGAGAACATCACACACCAGGGGGTGGAGGGTGGGGGTGGAGGGGAAGAACAGCAGGGGGTGGGGAGATTGGGGAAGGATAGCATTAAGAGAAATATCTAATGTAGAAGACGGGGCGATGGATGCAGCAAACCACCATGGCACATTTATACATATGGAGCAAACCTGCATGATCTGTACATGTACCCTAGAACTTAAAGTATAATAATAATAATAATAATAATAATAAAAACCTTTCAGGAAGATGGCTTAATAAAAACATATACAAAACAACAGTTTACCTATATACCAGGAAGAAATATAAAGTAAACCAGTTGTCAATAGCAAGACAAACATAATTAAAACATCTAGAAATATATTTAAAAGTAGTACGCCAGCTAATATTTAAACAGCCATGAAGTTTATTGAAAGATATGGAATGTCTAAATAATTCATTCTAATGTCTTAAAACTCCTAAATGAAAGATGACAAATTAATATAGGTAACTAGTGCAATTCCAATTAAAGCCCAAAGATGTTTATGGCCAGGACCAGTGGCTCACACCTGTAATCCCAGCACTATGGGAGGCCAAGGTGGGTGGGTCATTTGAGGTCTGGAGGTCTTAAACAAACCCCATCTCTACGAAAAATACAAAAAATCAGCAGGGCCTGGCGGTGCACGCCTGTACTCCCAACTGCAGGGGAGGCTGAGGCAGGAGAATTGCTTGAACCTTGGAGGCATAGGTTGCAGTGAGCCGAGAGAGATCGCACCACTGCAGTCCAGCCTAGGTGCCCAAGTAAGACTCTGTCTCAAAAAACAAACACACAAACAAACAAAACGAAAAACTCAAAAGGGTATTTATCAGGTGTAAAAAAAAGTCTAGAGTAATTTAAACATGACTCACAAAGAGATGTTATTCCACCAGATAGAACCATAAAGTTCCAGTTATCAAAACTATGTAATTAAAACCAAAACTAACAAATTAATGAAAAAAAATCTAGTCTGAGGTCCAGGTAGCTATAAAATTCATTCATTCATTCTACACATATTTATGAAATACTGTTCTAGGATCTGCAATATGGCAACAGAGGGGAAACAAACAAAAATTCCTCTTCTTATGGTGCTTATATTCTAATGGAGAGAAAAAGAATTGAGTAGAAAATTCAAAATATGTTTTATTTTTTTAAAAAAGAAAAACTGCTACCAACTTAACTCCTTAAATAAATCTTGATAATTAATATATTTTTTATACAAACATTCATAAAATAACGCCCCATACCAAATTTTTTCCCCGACAAAAGTGAGATCTTGCTGTATGTCCTTTCTTCCCAATTCAGTATATGGTCATATACCATGACAATGACAAAACAAATATATGGAAGCTGTTCCACAAAATTCCTGTCACCTAGTGATGGTATAGTCACTGTTATGTTTTAACAATGCATTACTCATGGGTTTGGGGCAATGTTTGTGTAAACAAATCTAGTGTGCTGCCAGTCATTAAAAGTCTAGCATATACAATTATGCAGAGTACATACTACTTGATAATAAATGACTATTTTCAGTTTATGTATTTACTATACTTTTTATTGTTATTTTAATGTGTACTCCTTCTACTTTTTTTTTTTTTTTAAAGTTAACCGTAAAACAGGTCCTTCAGAAGAATTCCAGAAGTCACTGTTACCACAGGAGACGACGGTTCCGTATGTGTTTGTCCCTGAAGACATTCCAGTGGACAAGATTTGGAGTGATATGAACGAGCCTGACTCTATGAGGCCTAGGGTAATGTGTGCTTCTGTGTATGAGGTTTTAACAAAAAAGTTTAAAAAGCAAAAACCAAATAACTAACTTAAAAATGTTTAGAAAAAAGCTTATAGAATAAGGACATAAAGAAATTATTTTTGGAATTGGGGGAAGATGGCCGACTAGGAACAGCTCAGGATTGCAGCTCCCGGTGAAAGTGCAGAGGGTGAGTGGACGCCGCATTTCCAGATGGATTTTTATTGCCCACATACCAGGAGATTCCCAGGCGGAGGAGCCCGACAGGTCGCCAGAGAGGGCTGTCTCGGCTGGCGTGGCTGCTTTACCCGCGCCCTGGCGCGGTGGTTCTCTGTACAAAGGACACTGGTCCGGGTGCCCTCTTAGCTGGCGATTGGAGCCCTGAGACCGCAGAGTCGCCCATTCATCTGAAATAGCGAGCCAGGCCAGGAGATTCCTAGGCAAAAAAACCGCCAGGAATCTCAGTGCCACTGTTTCAGCCGGATCAGTGAGTCGCGGCACAGGAGATCCTGGCGCTTTTCAACAGGCGACGGGAACACCTGGGAGAGGGTCAACCGTTCAACAACAACAACAACAAAAGACTGAGTCAGGGAGCCAGGTGATCAGGCTCGGCTGGTCCCAACCCCTCCCCCCCCCCACATACACACATAAAACAGTAATTAAAAACGCTCTGGGTTAAGAGTTTCACAGAAAGCACAGCTGAACCCGGGACAGTCCGGCTCTGTGGGGGAGGGGCGTCCACCATTACGATGACATTCCACCACTACGGAGACATGACCATCGCTGAGGCAGCCCGCCATTGCCGAGGCAACCTGCCACTACAGAGAGAGTCCACCATAACAGAGGCAGGCCACCATTGCCAAGGCAGTTCTAACTACACCCATATAAACAGGACTGCAGCAAAGATCTCACGGCAGCTGGGCGGAGCCCACAGCAGCTCAGCAAAGCCTCTGCAGGCAGGCAGTGACTAGGCTGCCTCCTCGCTGGGCAGGGCAGCCCTGAAAGAAAAAAAAAAGGCAGCAGCATAACGGAAACTCATAAATAAAGCCCTAACTCCCTGGGACAGAGCACCTGGGGGGGAAAAAAAAGCGGGGGGGAGTTTATGAGTTCTGCTGCAGCACACCTAAACGTACCTGCCCAGCAACTCTGAATGAACAACAGAGCTGATAGCTCAGGACTTGAGCTCCAATAAAGGACACACTGTCATCCTCAAGCAGCTCCCTGACCCCTGTATATCCAATGAGTCACCTCATAAAGGAGAGAAGAGACTGACATTGGGCGTGCATCCTACTGGGACAAAGATAGCAGAAGAGGAAACTGGTAGCAACCCTTACTATTCTGCAGCTGCTGCAGGTGATCTCCTGGCAAGCAGGGCCTGGAGTGGACCTCAGCAGCCCTACAGCAGAGGGGTCAGACTGTTAGAAGGAAAGCTAAGAAAAAGAAGTAACTTCATCATCCACAAACTGGAAGTTCACTCAGAAACCCAATCTGAAAGTCAGTAACTACAAAGACAACAGGTGGATAAACTGACAAAGATGGGAGGAAACCAGTGCAAAAAGGATGAAAACACCCGAAACCAGAACACCTCTCCTCCTAAAAGAGATCACAACTCCTCACCAGCAAGGGAAAAAGGCTGGATGGAGAAGGAGTGTGATGAAATGACAGAATCAGACTTCAGAAGGTGGGTAATAAGAAACTACAGTGAGCTAAAAGAACATGTTCTAACCCAATGCAAAGAAACTAAGAACCTTGAAAAAAGATATAACGAAATGCTAATGAGAATGGACAACCTAGAGAGGAATATAAGTGAATTAATGGAGCTGAAAAACACAACACGAGAACTTCGCGAAGCATGGACAAGTTTCAACAGCCGAATTCACCAAGCAGATGAAAGGATATCAGGGGTCGAAGATCAACTCAATGAAATAAAACAAGAAGGCAAGAATAGGGAAAAAAGGGTAAAAAGGAATGAACAAAGTCTCCAAGAAATGTGGGACTACGTGAAAAGACCTAATCTATGTCTGATAGGTGTACCTGAATGTGACGGAGAGAATGAATCCAAGCTGGAAAATACTCTTCAGGATATTATCCAGGAAAACTTCCCCAACTTAGCAAGGCAGGCCAATATTCAAGTCCAGGAAATACAGAAAATAACACAAAGATATTCCTCAAGAACAACAACCCCAAGGCACATAATCGTCAGATTCACCAGGGTCGAAATGAAGGAGAAAATGCTAAGGGCAGCCAGAGAGAAAGGTCGGGTTACCCACAAAGGGAAGCCCATCAGACTCACAGCAGATCTCTCAGCAGAAACCCTACAAGCCAGAAGAGAGTGGGGGCCAATACTCAACATCCTTAAAGAAAAGAACTTTCAACCCAGAATCTCCTATCCAGCCAAACTAAGCTTCATAAATGAAGGAAAAACAAAATCCTTTGCGAACAAGCAAGTACTGAGAGATTTCATCATCACCAGACCTGCTTTACAAGAGCTCCTGAGAGAGGCTCTACACATATAAAGAAACAACCAGTACCAGCCACTCCAAAAACATACCAAATGGTAAAGAGCATCAACACAATCAAGAACCTGCAACAACTAACGAACAAAACAGCCAGCTAGCATCAAAATGGCAGTATCAAATTCACACATAACAATATTATCCCTATGTGTAAATGGACTAAATGCCCAAATCAAAAGACACAGACTGGCAAATTGGAAGAAAGTCAAAACCCATCAGTGTGCTGTATCCAGGAAACCCATCGCACATGCAAAGATACACAAAGGCTCAAAATAAAGGGATAGAGGAAGATTTACCAAGCAAATGGAGAGCAAAAAAAAAGCAGGAGTTCCAATTCTCATCTCTGATAAAATAGGCTTTAAAGCAACAAAGATCAAAAGAGACAAAGAAGGACATTACATAATGGTAAAAAGATCAATACAACAAGAAGAGCTAACGATCCTAAATATATACACACCCAATACAGGAGCACCCAGATACATAAAGCAAGTTCTTAATGACTTACAAAGAGACTTAGACTCCCACACAATAATAGTGAGAGACTTTAACGCCCCATTGTCAATATTAGACAGATCAACCAGACAGAAAATTAACAAGGATATCCAGGACCTGAACTCAGACCTGAAACAAGCAAACCTAATAGACATTTACAGAACTCTCCACCCCAAATCCACAGAATATACATTCTTCTCAGCACCACATCACACCTACTCTAAAATTGACCACATAATTGGAAATAAATCACTCCTCAGCAAATGCAAAAGAACGAAATAATACCAAACAGTCTCTCAGACCACAGTGCAATCGAGTTAGAACTCAGAATGCAGAAACTAACTCAGAACCGCACAGCTTTATGGAAACTGAACAGCTGGCTTTTGAATGTTGACTGGATAAACAATGAAATGAAGGCAGAAATAAAGATGTTCTTCGAAACCAACGAGAACGAAGATACAACATACCAGAATCTCTGGGACACATTTAAAGCAGTCTCTAGAGGAAAATATATAGCAATAAGTGCCCACATGAGAAGCACGGAGAGATCTAAAACTGAAACCCTAGCATCAAAATTTAAAGAGCTAGAGGAGCAAGATCGGAAAAGCTCAAAACCTAGCAGAAGACAAGAAATAACTAAGATCAGAGCAAAACTGAAGGAGATAGACACACAAAAAAACCCTTCAGAAAATCAATAAATCCAGGAGCTGCTTTTTTGAAAAGATCAACAAAATAGACCACAAGCCAGATTAATAAAAAAGAAAAGAGAAAATAACCAAATTGATGCAATAAAAAACAATAAAGGGGATATCACCACAGATTCCACAGAAATTCAAACCATCATCAGAGATTATTACAAACAACTCTATGCACATAAGCTAGTAAACCTGGAAGAAATGGATAAATTCCTGGACACTTGCCTCCTCCCAAGCCTAAACCAGGGAGAAGTTGAAACCCTGAATAGACCAGTAACAAGGTCTGAAGTTGAGGCAGCTATTAAGAGCCTACCACCCAAAAAAAGCCCAGGTCCAGATGGGTTCACAGCCGAATTCTACCAGACATACAAACAGGAGCTGGTACCATTCCTTCTGAAACTATTCCAAATAATCCAAAAAGAGGGAATCCTTCCCAAATCATTTTATGAGACAAACATCATCCTGATACCAAAACCAGGTAGAGACTCAACAAGAAAAGAAAGCTTCAGGCCAATATCCATGATGAACATACATGCAAAAATCTTCAATAAAATACTGGCAAACCGATTGCAACAGCACATCAAAAAGCTTATCCACCATGATCAAGTAGGCTTCATCCCGGGGACGCAAGTCTGGTTCAACATACACAAGTCTATAAACGTAATTCACCACATAAACACAACCAAAGACAAAAACCACATGATTATCTCAATTGATGCAGAGAAGGCCTTTGACAAAATTCAACAGCCCTTTCTGCTAAAAACGCTCAATAAACTAGGTATTGATGGAACATATCTCAAAATAATAAAAGCTATTTACGACAAACCAACAGCCAATATCATACTGAATGGGCAAAAACTGGAAGCATTCCCTTTGAAATCTGGCACTAGACAAGGATGCCCGCTCTCACCACTCCTATTCAATATAGTACTGGAAGTTCTAGCCAGAGCAATCAGGCAAGAAAAAGAAATAAAGGGTATTCAAATAGGAAAGGAGGAAGTCAAATTGTCTCTATTTGCAGACAACATGATTGTATATTTAGAAGACCCCATCATCTCAGCACAACATCTCCTGAAACTGATAAGCAACTTCAGCAGTCTCAGGATACAAAATCAATGTGCAATAAATCACAAGCATTCCTATACACCAATAACAGACTTAAAGAGAGCCAAATCAAGAACGAACTGCCATTCACAACTGCCACAAAGAGAATAAAATACCTAGGAATACAACTAACAAGGAATGTAAAGGACCTCTTCAAGGAGAGCTACAAGCCACTGCTCAACGAAATAAGAGAGGA